TTAGCCAAAAGTTAAAATAAGATATAGGAACTTAACGCTTAGATGCTAAGTAACTTGATTCAAGCCATTTATTCAGGACATATCTTAGTAAACCTTACTTCTCAAGGTTTTATTTTAAGAGACGTAATAGGTAAAAATTCTTCTTAAACCCTCAAACTTATCTCAAAATAATATTTAAGTTCTTAAATTAACAATGAAATAGATAAGCTCTCTAACTTCATTAATGATGCAAATAACCCCTCTCATTCATGAATATTCATGATATCAAAGTGATATTAAACATGAAATATCATTTTGGCCATTTGTGAAAAAGACTTATTTGCATTGTTAAAGGAGTTAGAAGACTTATCTACTTCATTTTTAGTTTAGGAGCTTAAATGTTGTTTTAAGATAAGTTTAGGAGTTTATGAAGGGTTTTTCCGAAAGTAGCAAATGAAAATAATTTTTATTTGATTTTAATTTTTATAAAAATACTTTATGACCTATTTGATATAATAATTTAAAGTTAATAATCAACTATTTTATGTAATTTAATAAATAAAAATATTTAAAGTAATACTAATTAATTATAATAATAAATAAAATTATTAATCATTAATTTCAAACTATTATATCGATCAAACTCAACTATTTAATATCTTTTTAAATTCAAAAGTTGTAGAAGGGAAAAAATAAGGCGTCTGATGTCCATCCAAATAGTCGGCGCGTGAAAGGTGAAAGGCATAAAAGGCCGGGGTTTAGTGGGCCCAAGCAACCAAGGCGGGCAATATAAATGGAGGATACCGATTTAATTTAACCACAGATCTACCTCCTCACGTACATACTACATCGCACACACACGTATTCTTCTCAATCCAAACAAACCTTTCTCTTCTTCTTCTACTTCAGTATTAATTTCATTTCCTTTATGATTCTCTAGTCCCGGCGCCTCCAATCTCTCGTTGCCTCACAGTCGCCTTTTCCCGTTGAGCCTCCACTATGGCCGGTAACAGGACCATAAGCCTCGAGGAGATCAAGAACGAATCCGTCGATTTGGTACTCATTCTCTCTTACTCTCCTTATTTGTTTATTTCTTGATTCCCATATATACATAAAAGGTATAAGGAAGTGTACATGTGTTTGGTTGCTGAGAAAAATAGAGGTAAACGAAAATTTTTTGAGTGATTCTTTTGTTTTAACTTTTTAGAGCATTTTAAGAATTTTTTTTTTTTTTGTTAAAAGTTAAAATCCTGTGAATTTTTTCAATTATTTTCGAAATGATTTTTTAAAAAAATTTCCGAATCGTATGATTTTTTTTTTCTTATTTTTTCATAGCTTTTTCCTGGCAACCAAACAAGTTGCGTGATTATATTGAGATATTTTTCTGATAAAATAAACACATACAGAGTATGAGACAAATTTTCTTTTTATTAGATCGAATTATTTTTATTTTTTATTTTTTAATTTATATCACTGCTCGTTCTGTCTTTATTTTTTAGTTTTGCACTTTGAGATTATGGATCGATAATTGCCAAAAAATAGGAAAGGATGGCAGCTAGTATTTCGCCGGTGATTATGTTACCGGAATGACACCGGCGCATTTTCATCGGATGTCATAATAAATGCGTTTTCTCAATCTGAGTCTAAAAAGTATGAATAACACGCACCGAATCACATGAACCAAGTGGGTCGGCAAGGCTCCTGCCCTCCTTTGTCTTTAAGCAACGTAGTTGAGAAGGGAATCACGGTGACGAAGAATCATTATAGGCTATGGGCCAAACCTACACAGTTTTAGGTTCTCCCTGCTTTTAGTTCCAACACGACCGGAGATACTAATTAAGAAGATTAGTTATATGGAGTTTTTCTTGCAATTAATATATACACATTTTGACAGTTAAGTTGTATGGGGAAAGAAAAAAGTTATATTAATTTTACCAAAAAGGAGTCCCGAATCATGTGCCTTGGAATGTAGTCCACTTACCCGTTGAGGAAGCAACGTGGTCTCTTGGTATTATAGGCTTATTTCTTTATTAGTTATTAAAAATAATACAATTTATATTATATAAATTGCATTATAATATTCTCTTAATTTTAATATTAATGTCATATTTATTATTCTAAATATTGATTAATTGATAAAATTAAAATTAATTTTTAATTTTTTATAACTTAATAGTTAAAAAATATAGTAATTACACACTAATTGTATTTAAGAGATTGAATTGACTAATAATTTCATAAGAAATTTAAGTGATGTTATTGTCACACCTTTAATTTTAATATTAATGTCATATATATTATTCTAAATATTGATTAATTGATAAAATAAAAATTAATTTTTAATTTTTTTATAACTTTATAGTTAAAAAATATAGTAATTACACACTAATTGTATTTAAGAGATTGAATTGACTAATAATTTCATAAGAAATTTGAGTGATGTTATTGTCACACTTTCAATTATTAATGTTACATTTTTTTATCTTAATTGATCATTATATCTTTTAATTTATTAAGAAATAAAAAATATAAATTTTTGAAAAAAATATAATAAAAATTATATTAAAAAAATATAATATTAACTATTTAAAACATAACAATAATTATACTTAGAAATCCAGTTAGCTGGTGAATTAATTAAAAAGAAATTTTCTATGAAGTCAAACTTATGGTGACAACATTTTGACTTTATTTTGGCCGTGCTGAATCTTACGTGAGTTATTTGATCAGTTTGGGTTGTTTGTAATACCATGTTTCACTAGCATTGGCTACAACTTATTGGAGGATGTGACTCCAACGTCCCTGAATCTGAGATGACGATTCATTCCATCTAATTTTTTACGGTTTATCCTGATGAAATAGTATTCTGGTGGTGAAATTGGCGTCTTTTCCTGAATATTTATTCGACTAAGCAATTGATAATTGTTTACAGGAACGGATACCTGTAAGTGAAGTGTTCGAGCAGCTGAAATGTAGCAGCAAAGGACTGACTTCAGAGGAAGGAACCCATCGACTCCAAGTTTGTGGACCAAACAAACTAGAAGAGAAAAAGGTTTAATTCATTACCTTGACTGTACGTATGTGGCCTCTTCTATTTTGCATCCTTCCACATGACAATATGATGATTTGCAAACAGGAGAGCAAGTTTCTCAAGTTTTTGGGTTTTATGTGGAACCCTTTATCATGGGTCATGGAAGCTGCTGCTATCATGGCTATTGTCATGGCAAATGGGGATAACAAACCTCCAGACTGGCAGGACTTTGTTGGTATCGTTGTGTTGTTGCTGATCAACTCTACCATTAGTTTTATTGAAGAAAATAACGCTGGTAATGCTGCAGCAGCCCTCATGGCTGGTCTTGCTCCCAAAACTAAGGTGAAAACATAGGCTCTTCTCAGTTTACGTTCATCTTGTTATTGCTCTTTTAAATTTGGTTTCAGTTTTTAATTTTCTTCTTCTGGAACAAACTGTAGGTTCTAAGAGATGGTCAATGGAGTGAACAAGATGCTGCAATTCTGGTTCCAGGGGACATAATCACCATTAAATTGGGAGACATAATTCCTGCAGATGCTCGTCTTCTTGAGGGTGATCCTTTAAAGATTGATCAATCTGCTCTCACTGGAGAATCTCTTCCTGTCACTAAAAACCCCTCAGACGAAGTCTTTTCTGGTTCCACATGCAAACAGGGTGAAATAGAAGCAGTTGTCATTGCAACTGGTGTGCACACCTTTTTTGGTAAAGCTGCACATTTGGTAGACAGCACCAATCAAGTTGGGCATTTCCAGAAAGTTCTCACTGCCATTGGCAATTTCTGCATTTGTTCGATTTTTATTGGATTATTCATTGAGGCAGTTGTCATGTACGGGATCCAGCACCGCAAGTACAGGGATGGAATTGACAATTTACTAGTTCTCTTGATTGGAGGAATCCCGATTGCCATGCCAACTGTGTTATCTGTCACCATGGCTATTGGTTCTCACAGGCTCTCTCAGCAAGGGGCTATTACCAAGCGAATGACAGCCATCGAGGAAATGGCAGGCATGGATGTTCTCTGCAGTGACAAGACAGGGACTCTGACCCTGAACAAACTGACAGTTGATAGAAACCTGATTGAAGTGTTTGAGAAGGGCATAGAAAAGGAGCTAATTATCCTTTATGCAGCTAGGGCTTCAAGAACTGAAAATCAGGATGCCATTGATGCGGCTATTGTTGGAATGCTTGCAGATCCCAAAGAGGTATTGTATTTTGTTGCTCTTTCTTCTGTCTTGTTAGGTAGTGGATTTGATGATTTCTGTAACATTTAATTATTTATTGGCCAGGCACGAGCGGGTGTAAGGGAGGTTCATTTCTTTCCATTCAACCCTGTAGACAAAAGAACTGCTCTTACCTACATTGATTCTAATGGAAACTGGCATCGGGCTAGCAAAGGTGCCCCTGAGCAGGTATGTGTGATTTTCCTCATGCTGGTATATCCAGTTAGAAGGTTGTAAGGAGGTAATATTTATCCTCGTGTTTTCATTGTCCCGTAACAGATATTGAACCTCTGCAACTCCAAGGAAGATGTTCGGAAAAGGGTTCATGCAGTAATTGGCAAATTTGCCGAACGTGGACTTCGATCATTAGCTGTGGCAATACAGGTATAAGACTCTTCACATTGTTAACATCACTTCATTAAGTAAAGATTAACTGCCAAATTTAATCCCCCAGCTTTAGGGTCTTAATAATTTTTGTTTTTAAACTTTTTTATGTTTTTTTTTTAGTCCTTTAATATGAAAAATATATTTTTTTAATCATTTTGTTAGTTAGTTATTAAAATATACACATATTTAATCCTTATACTTTTAAATTGATGAACAAAAAAATATATATTATAAGTTAATAGATTAAAAAGTACACTTTTTATAATTGAAAAATAAAAAAAGTGTATAAATAATGTTGAAGGATAAAAATTATGTAAAACATTAAAATTAAGGCATCAAAATTGGCATTTGATCTTAAGCAAGAAGAGCTAATGACATTTCTGCTTTTCTTTTTTTCTTTTTTTTTTTTTTTAATTTTTTAATTTTTACTTCTTTATTTTGCAGGAAATACCTGAGAAGACAAAAGAAAGTCCAGGGGCACCATGGCGATTTATTGGTTTGTTGCCTCTGTTTGATCCTCCAAGGCATGACAGTGCTGAAACCATTAGAAGAGCTCTAAACCTTGGCGTGAATGTTAAAATGATTACTGGTGAGACTAAATATTTCACTTAGTTTTAGCTCAAAAAGTTTTCTTCTTCGTTTTTTTTTTTTTTCCTTTTTTTTTTCAAAATTAATCATTACCTTGCAACTTACCTTTATACACACACCTTGTTTTATTATCTAGGTGATCAGCTCGCCATTGCCAAAGAAACTGGGAGGAGGCTTGGAATGGGAACAAACATGTACCCTTCTTCCTCCTTGCTTGGCCAAGAGAAGGATGCTTCAATTGCTGCTCTCCCTATAGATGAGTTGATTGAGAAGGCAGATGGATTTGCAGGAGTATTTCCAGGTGATTTAATATATTAAAAAATTTCTAGCAGAACATATGCCTTTTTTTTCATTCTAATTAAAGAAACCACACCACTTAATAACATCAAGTTTCCGTAAAAAATTAATAACAGTAACTAATTTTCTGGTTATTAGAAAGTCTCAAACTAAAATGTCTTCTATTTATTTTTTCTCTTTCTAATATCTTTAAACTAATACATTTTTCTCTTTTTAATCTCTTTAAACTCACACTTTGCCTTCTGGCACATTAGCTCTTTGATTTTTGTCACTTATATGTATTTTAAAATTTTTTGACTATGGATACTCATCCACGTTTCAAGTTATTCTCCTCATTGCTTTTTTCTAACAATTTTTTCTGCATATGCTAGAACACAAATATGAAATTGTTAATAGGCTGCAAGGGAGGAAACATATCTGCGGTATGACTGGAGATGGTGTCAATGATGCACCTGCTTTGAAGAAGGCAGATATTGGAATTGCTGTTGCGGATGCTACAGATGCTGCTAGAAGCGCATCAGATATTGTCCTTACTGAACCTGGGCTTAGTGTCATTATAAGTGCGGTGCTAACTAGCAGGGCTATTTTCCAAAGGATGAAGAACTACACAGTTAGTTATATTCTAGTTTACTTCTGTTGGTATTATGTTGTTTATTGTTTCATAGAGCAGCTGATATGTAGTAACCACATATCTTTCCTTCAAATTTGCAGATCTATGCAGTTTCTATTACCATCCGTATTGTGGTAAGTATATCTCTTTGAGAACTTTATGCCACTGCAGAAGGTGTCCAAGTTTTACCGAATAATATGGATCTAATACAATTGTTTGTTCCTATATTTGGCAGTTTGGTTTCATGTTTATTGCCTTGATATGGAAGTTTGACTTTGATCCTTTTATGGTCTTAATTATTGCTATCCTAAATGATGGTGAGATATTCTTCATTAAATCTCAGTGTTAATATGCATTCGTTTCTGTCTCGTTTGGTACAAGCCAACTTTGACTGATCAGCATAGTCATGAATCTAATGTCCCGCATCAATATGTCTATAGGGACAATCATGACAATATCAAAAGACAGAGTGAAGCCATCTCCGCAGCCAGACAGCTGGAAGTTGAGAGAGATTTTCACTACTGGCATTGTGCTCGGAGGATATTTGGCATTGATGACTGTATTATTTTTCTGGGCCATGAGAGACACCAATTTATTCACAGTAAGTATACTTTTGCGATCTTCTCTTCATGTTTTGGTAACATTTCTTCTGGTTTTGCTCAGCTGTTTCAATATTACAGGACAAGTTTCATGTAAGACCCCTGAGGGATAGTCCTGAGGAAATGATGGCAGCTTTATACCTTCAAGTGAGTATTGTGAGCCAGGCCCTTATTTTTGTGACACGATCGCGGAGCTGGTCCTATGTTGAACGCCCCGGACTTCTGTTAATCAGTGCTTTTATAGTCGCTCAGTTGGTAAGACTTCATATCCATAACCCTTCTAGTTTTTTGAAACTGTTAATTGGTTAAAAGGTTTCTGCAACCTCTCCATCCCCCTTTCTTCTTGTTCTTTTCTGAGGCTGATGTGAGATTACTGTTTTGAAATTTTCATATTAAAATTCACCAATATCTAATTTGTTATGGTTTTTATTTTATTTCTTGTTTCTTGTTTCTTCTCTATTAATGCATAAAATATTGAAATAATTTTGTAAGCAATTCTCAACTTGTCAGGTAGCAACACTGATTGCAGTTTATGCAAATTGGGGTTTTGCTAATATAAAAGGTGCTGGCTGGGGATGGGCTGGAGTGATCTGGCTTTATAGTGTTGTGACTTATATCCCTCTTGATCTTCTCAAGTTTGCCATCCGCTATGTCCTCAGCGGCAAGGCGTGGGATACACTTTTACAGAACAAGGTATTATTCTCTATGATACTTATAGACGAAGAGCTATTTTGGTTTTACTATTCTCAACTTCACATGTAATCGTTCCTGAAAGTTCAGTTTCTCTGTTTCTGTTGTCTTCTTATTTCATATCTGCTATTCTAACTTTCATTACAGACTGCCTTCACTACAAAGAAAAACTATGGAAAAGAAGAAAGAGAGGCACAATGGGCTACAGCACAGAGAACCCTCCATGGTCTTCAACCACCCGAAACAGTAACCCTTTTCAGTGATAAGAACAGTTACAGGGAACTCTCAGAGATTGCAGAGCAGGCTATACGCCGGGCTGAGGTTGCCAAGTAAGTGAACTATGTTACATATAAAAAAATACCACAATGTGCTTAGAACGCGAAAAAAAAAAAGAAAAAAAGCAGAGATTAAAAAGGCAAAAGCTCAGGAATGCAGCATTTTGGTTTCAAATAGTAGATTTAGGAATCTGATTCAAGAATGGGAATAAATTTGCTTTACATCATCTCTCAAGGAATATGTATGGTTACTAACAAAAGGTGATTTCTGCAGATTAAGGGAGCTGCATACACTCAAGGGGCATGTTGAATCAGTTGTTAAGCTGAAGGGACTTGATATCGATACGATTCAACAGCATTACACAGTTTAAGAAGCAGCTAAAGCTTAATGTTTGAATGAGACATACAGTCCTGACATTTCCTCCGGCTAAAAAATAGTTGATGCAATAGTTAATTCTTAATTGCTATGTTTTCTTAAAAGTATATATTCCTCTTGTATCTTCCCATACCATTATGCTGCTGCTTCTACTTTCTTAAATTCAGTAGTTCATATTCCTGCCTTTTTGTCCTTTTTACGTGTCAATATTATATCTATTACCTGTTCCCACCTGTTCCCATCTGTTCCCATCTGTTCCCATTAAACACTTGCTGAGAATGAGAAGTTGAATTCGTTTTGAGTTAAATGAGGAAGATGGTCAAGGTACAATCTGTGTCCAAATAAAATGTTTAGTCTTCACCCATATTCACCTATTATCTTGCTGCAAGATTAAAAGACAAAGAAATGGCAAGCAACAATAAATAATCAATATAGAGCAGTAACAGTTGAAGAGAACATATACTGAGTTTTTTGTTTTGAAAAAAAATCTGATCAAGAACTTGAATCTCATAACTTCTTCTCCAGAGGGAGGGAATACTAATACAAGTAATAGCAGAATCATGCATTGTTTTTTTTACACAACCCCTGCTATCCAAAAATTTCATTGATTCCGATTAATTTGGAATGAAGGCATCTTAGACCCCTCCCAGTACTTGTCTCTCCATTTATAAAATTGAAACTTCAAATTGAAACTTCAAACTTTACAAGAATCAAGTGCATTCCACATGATCATGCATTGTTAATTTATCATGAACATGAGTTTGCATAGAGAATGAGCATGAAAGTACCAGTCAAAATTCGAGATTTATGAGAATGAATGTTGACAGAGAACCCCTGAAAATTGGAGAGCAGAAAATTCGTTTCTTTGTTGGAGTGAAGTCAGAGAATCAATGAGGCACTGGCACCCTGAATTGTGTGGGATGGGAAGGCCTTCTCCACGCTTGGGCTTGTAAAGTGTGAACTCTTTTTGTTCGGGATAATGCAAGTAAGCCCTTGAACTTTCACCATTTTCGTGGCTTCACCCTTAATATTTTGTATTTCTTTTTATTTATATATAAATGATTTTATTATTTATTAAGTGTAAAAATTTATAAACATAATCACTCATTGAGTAAGAATGATAAAATGAATATGATTGCAATCAAAGATTAGTTAAAGGCTTAAATAAAGCACTACACACTAAAAATGAGACTGCTTATTTCAAAGTAAATTTTTTTTTTTTTTTACAAGAAAAGAAGTCAACCATTTTTTAATTGTAGTAAAACAACAAAAAGGATAAATAATTTCAAATTAAAAAATAAAATTGTGACTAGAATTTAGTTTCTTAACTTTCATTTTTAAATTATGTCTTTAATAATAATATAATTTAACTTATATAAATTATATTGATTGTTCTCATTCAATAGAATTGTTTTAATCAATTTCTAAAAACTAATTAAGAAATAAAAATTTAAAAACTAAATTTCAATATAAATTTATTGTCAATCTAGAATTATTCATCTCAATCCAAACACAAAAATTAAATAAAAATTAATTTTTAAACCAAATACAAAAATGAAACGAAAGACATTTTTTTAATATTTAGTTTCCCCCCTCAATATTAAATTCATCAATACAATTTTTTAAAATAGTTTTAAGGGCCAAAATATTTCACCAAAAATTTAAATTAGAAAAAAATAATAATAATAAAAAGACATAGAAATGGAGAAGAAAAAAAATAAAAATAAGAAATAAGAAATAAGAAAAATAAAAAATAAAAAAAACCACGTTTGCTAAAAAAACACAAGGCGAGAGCAACCGAGAAAGAAGAAACGAAGAGAGAGAAGAAACGAAGAGAGAGAAAGATAGAAAGGGAAACTAAATAGCAGCGATCCAGCTACACAAAGCCTAGCTCAATACAAATCCATAAACTCACCCAAATGCACTCAAATTGAAGGGAAAACGAGGGAAAGGAAGATTTTTGGGAGAAACCCAGGAAATTGAAGCTGCGAAGAAACGAGCCCAACAAGTCACTGCACTCGATTTCTCTGCAATTCGTCGACTTTGCTAAGGTCAGGCCTCAATCAATCTCTGAACCTTGTTTGAATGCTTTGAAGCTACGTTTTTACTCTTCATTGTGCTTTCTTTCTATGCAATTCGATCTTCTAAGCAAATTTCGTCCCCTGTTCTCAACTTCATCCCCCACGAACTCGACTGATCTCTTTCGTTGAAGTTCAAAATTTCAATTTCAAAGTTTTTATGTTTTGAATTGTTGGAAAAAATTATGAGGTTTTTATTGGTGCAGTGATATTATTGGGGGTTCATGCTGTTCCAGAGAAGCGTGGAGTTATTTATTTGAGTTTGGTGATTCGAAGTTTAGGGTTTTGATTTATTGTGTCTTTTATTGAATTTGGCTTTTCGTGGGGTTTCTTGATTAAGCAGTGTAGTGAGTTTGATCTCTAGGGTTTTGGTCTCCCCAAGATGAGATTTGGGTATGCATTGTATGGTTTCTGGATGGGTGAATTTAGGGATATTTGGAAACAAAAATAGCTATATTCTGGTAGGAAGATTGGAACTTTGCAGTGCTAATGGGATTTGGTTTTACTGTTTGAATCTCAATTATGCAAAGATTGAGAGGTTGATTTACATTGGATGGTATGTGGATTAGTGGACTTGGAGTTGTTTGGTGGTGCGGATAACAGCAGTTTGAGCCATTATTGGGAATTGGGATTTCAGGGGTACTGCAATTCTGTGAATGGTGTAGGAATCTGGTGATTGAGAAATGCAACCTCAACAGGGCTCCAGAATTGATTTAGGTGACTTGAAAGCTCAGATGGTAAAGAAGATTGGGCCTGAGAGGTCGAAGAAGTACTTTTATTATTTGAGCAGGTTTTTAAGTCAGAAGCTTAGCAAGAATGATTTTGATAAGTTATGTTTTCATGTCCTTGGAAGGGAAAATCTCCCACTGCATAATCAGTTGATACACTCAATCTTGAAGAATGCTTGTCAAGCTAAAACCCCTCCACCAGTTCATGAAGCTGATCCCGCAAAATCTTTGCTACAAACTGCAAAAGGTTCTCCTGTTAGAGAAGATGGGCATGAACAACTTGGATCTCTCATCCCTAATCAGAATCAAAATTTACCTGTTTGGTCAAATGGTGTTTTGCAAGTGTCCCCACGGAAGAGTAGGTCTGGCACACGGAAACTCAAGGATAGGCCCAGTCCACTTGGTCCAAATGGGAAGATTGAAAGTGTCTCTCATCAAGCAATGGGTGCAGAAGACAATGTTAATAAAATGATTGTGGAAAATGGGGCTTTGCCACTGTATGAATATCAAAGACCTATGCAGCATCTTCCACCTGTTGCTGAACGGCCTGAAATTGAAAGGGAGGGTTTGGTGCGACCAACAGAAAAGTTTAGATTACCTAGTAAGGATCAGATTGGAGGAGCTGACATTGAAGGAGCAGAGGAGGTGGAGCAGGCTAACGACTTTAATATCTCTAGAAGTCCTTTGCTTGCTCCACTTGGGATTCCTTCATGTTCAGCCAGTATAGGTGGGTCCCGCAAAGCCATACCCGTCACAGGTGGTGGTGATTTTATCAACTTTTATGATAGCAGTGGGTTGTCTGACACAGAGACATTGAGGAAACGTATGGAGCAGATAGCAGTAGCACAGGGTGTTGGAGGGGTTTCAATGGAATGTGCTAACATTTTGAATAATATGTTGGACGTATACTTGAAGAGATTGATCAGATCATGCGTTGAGTTGGTGGGATCAAGGTCTAAACATGAGCCAGGAAAGTACCCTGTACACAAGCAGCAGCTTCAAGGGAAGGTTGTCAATGGCATGTGGCCAAATAATCACTTGCATATGCAGAGTAATGGTAGCCCTGTGGATGTTATGCAGGGACAAAGACCATGGTGCTCAATATCTGTGCTTGATTTCAAAGTTGCCATGGAGCTAAATCCTCAGCAGCTTGGTGAAGATTGGCCTTTGCTGCTGGAAAAAATTTGCATGCAGTCATTTGAAGAATGAAAATTGAAAAGTTGTATAAAGATTTGTTTCTCCCAAAGCTTTGGTTGGCTTAGTCTATCCTGGTTCAGAGTGCTTCAAAACTGCTGCAAGAATTCATGATGCACCTATTCTTTTCTATCACCAGGATGAACTGGATAGCTGCCACTCAGAAAGAACTCCACGCGTCACAGGATGAAAAACATCTTTGAGCATCAAGATGTCTGTACTTGCCTGCTGCAGAGCCCGGATGGATCTGAGAATTATACTACAGAGACCAATCAAGGGTACTGTCAAATATAGAATGCCCACAACTGGTTGATTTGTTGTAAGATTAGTCCTAATGTTGGCTGCCTCTCCCATCACTACAGATTTCAAGCTTTTCTTGTACTTGCAGCCAATGAGGAGGGAATCTAAAACAGTTTTGCAAGGATACTGTTTTGTAGCTTGGTGAAAGGTAAAATTACTTGTGTAAGAGCTGCAGCATTGCTCTGTATGTAACTTTAGAAATCTGAGAATTGATTGAAATTTCAATATCAATAACAAATTCACATCCACTAAATAGTCCTTGGTGGTTTGTATTTTTAGGTTTGTTTCAGCTGATAGTGCCTGAAAATCACTTGCTTAAGAATTTTTCGTTTCATGTTATCAATGAGTTTTATCACTTGCTAACTACAATTAGTTGTCATGCAAAAGTTGTGGTGGGAATATTCATGTTGCCTAGTGACTGTTATTGTTGTGCTGGATGAGTATGATGCTGCTTGTTTTCCAAATTCATCTTTCTTTTTTCTTAAGTAGCTTTGGGCCAATCTTAAACATTTTACTGGCTCTATTGCAAATAGACATGTAGGGGAAAACATGGAATTCGATAAATTAACCAGAAATATTTAGGCAATAAAATAAGTAAACAAGCTTAATATCAGTCAATTCTTCAGAATGATTTGATGATAAATTATGTAGCATCAGGCTAGGTAAGAAAACAATAATTCTTGGTTTTATTTCTTCTCTGTAGATTTGTGGAGCTACTCGTTCTGAGTTTATAAATGGCAAAAAGTTGTTTGATGCACTTTGATCTGAATCTGTCAAAAAAAAACTTTTTTTTTTTTTGATAAATTCATGGTTCATGGGAATGTTTTGATCTCTGCAAGTACTTTTGTTTAAGTTTTGTTAGAGGAGACAACTTGGAACAGTAAAAAACAGTTGGGCTGAGAAGAAGAGGACTAGCATTGTGACTCAAGGAAATAGAAGTTTCCAGCACAAATCTGAGAACATGGTCTACCATCAATCCCTCTACTACTTTTATGGCCTTCTACTTTGACCTTCTGTATAAATGCTCTAGTTATCAAAGCATTGTTGTGAAGCTTCCCTTCCACTTGATAACATGTTAACTTCTGTGCTGCTCTTGATTGTTGAGCTTGTTTTCCCATAATATATTTTTGGATTGCCATATTCTTCAATTGCCTATTCCCATCTATGTTCACTGCCTTCTTTCACTTCAAACATTAGCATTGTTCAGCAGATATTGTGTTGGCACATTCATATTCCCATGGTGACGGACTGTAACTTTTCATCATGTAAGAAGATCATGATTCATGAATCTGAAACTGTTGTTCCTCTGTTATTTATGTACCATCAAGTATGAATCAGTGTCACTATTTTATTTCTTCTGTAAACTAAATGGGGTGCTAGATTTCCATATCCGTTACATGAGGCTTATTTGAATTCATGTGTTTGATGCTCTGTAATGTAGTAGTCTTTCGAACAAAATTGAAGAAATGATTTCTCTGTTGTATGTGTAGGTTCCTGTTGTTCATCTTCCTCCTGCCCCTGGTTTAGAGTTTAAGCAAGTCTTCTCTGCTGTATCAGGAAAAGGGATAATATATTAGTTTTTGTTAATTTTAGCTTTCTTTTTATTATGTTCATGATATACGTGAATGGTGACTTATAATCAATAAAATCGGATGTTGTCGTCACGTTAGCTCTCAGCTCCTGTCTTCTTCTTCCCCAGTTTTTTTTTTCCTGCCCTTGGCCAGTCTGGAAACAATCTGATATCAGATTGTTCACATTCTTCTCGTCTTCTTCAGCCACTGTACATATAATCTTTCAGCTGCACCTACATAATTGTGTGTACTCGTGCGCCCATGCACACGCATAACATAACCACAATGAGTAAAAGCCTTCATGAAATGCAGTTCTGGCATCAAACGTGAACAACCTTGGAACTTTCGGTTGGTGATGAAATAAAAGCTAATGGCCTTTACAGATCAAGAGGAACTGTGATTTTCTTAATCCTTGTTTCAT